ATCAAATGTGGACCATATGTTTCTGAAACAGACAGTGGCTTGACATTGAACTGTAACCGTGACCAAAACATTACCCTAACCTTAACCAAAGTCCCTTCCCCTGTGACATATTAATATGTTACAAATAGGCACATTTATGGCTATGCTATGAATAAAAATGCTTTAACTTTTTGGAGGTTATGAACCCTTGTTACTCCTTATGACATCATACTGTATGCTCTGTGAATACAGCTGGACAGTACAAGGGTATTTCACTGAACACACATGGACTAAGACGAGAAAGCAGCTCTGGAAATAAATATAAAAAGAAGGCGAAGAGGCTCACAACACACACTAAACTGTATCCTAACATGTGCACACAACTAGCATGAGGAACTCACATCCAACAAACCTCCATAATCAAGTGCTCGCAGCATATGTGGCCGTGCCAAATGTGAACTGATGCAATTAGTTAGGCTACACAATTTTTCAATCCTTCAAAATTAACACAAATGGTCCTAAAATCAGTCCAAAGGCTCTCGAAAAAAACTCCCTAACAGCATGAAAAAGGGACTAAATGTTTCTGTATCAGAAACCTGATTTCACTAAATCACTGCAAAACACGTCTTCCTGATTGGACGGTGATCAGTATTTCTATAAATTGAGAGAGAGAAAAAGACTACTGTACAAAACAAACACACACAGTGTGACATCACCTGAATGGCTTCAGTTTTTTTTTTGGATGCAAAGATTCGTGAGACTGTGATTCTCATAGCGGTCACTGCAGTCATTTTACACAGAGATGTAAAACTGTAAAACTGCAAAACTTGTGTTGCCTGATTCAGAGCGCTGCTAAGATCATTCACATCATCACACATGAATGCAAATGGGCTCTGTGGAACCACAAGAGTCTCAGGTTTCCCACTGTGTTTTTATCTATGAAAGGTCTACAGCAATAATAAAAAAAAAAGATGTCAGAGGTATTTTCATTTTGCATTGTGTCCAGCACTACTCACATTCAAAATAAAACTAAATTAAATTAATTCAATCATTAGCATTCCTCAACAACATTAAACTGAACTAGTCAAAATTACACTGCAGCAAGAGGAAGTCTTCTAAGACTATCAAAGTAAGAGTCATCAAGAAGTTTTCTATGAATTTCTGTCTTTATTGAGTCTCTGATGCTCCCACTTCAAAATAAAATCAGCTAAAACTGAGACATGTACAGTTGAATGAATTACAGTTACATTACACTGACAGTGCATTTCCTTTTCTTTTGATGATCCTATCATTTTTATGTTCAGGCTCTAATCTGTGAACATGGTGGAGTGCTATCTGACAAACATTACAGCTGCATAGCAGTAATACATGGGAGCCTGCACGGGACCCTGAACGTTTAGCCAGAAGTTCAACATAGCTGCCATTGTTGGTTTTAAAGTGTTATGGGTTGGGTTTTATTACTTCTGTCAAAACATCAGAAGCTGTTGAGCCAGGCCAAGTTCATGACTTGGAGTCCATCTAATAAGGGGAATTTAACACAAAGATCAATAGGATATCTGGCAATTAGTATGCACAGGCCAGATAGAGAGACAGAGAGGGGGTGTATGAGAGGAAAACTGTCAGAACTTATTGTGTATTTGTTGTGGTGGGTTAGGAGAGGAGGGGAGGGAGTCATTTCTGCAAAATCAGCAAAAAATAAAAAAAGGAAAAAACAAATGAGGTGGTACTAAACCCATGTTGGCGCTACCTTTTATTTTATTGACTTGATAATGCAAAAGGCCTCTAAACCTACAATAGGTTTAGAAAATCAATAACGTGTGTAAGTTGTGGATTCAACACCTTCCTGCTTCTTCGGCTGTGTGCAGAGCTGATACATGTTTCTATTTTAATTATATTCCTTTAGGTTTCTGTGGAGACGTTACTGCACGTTACTGCGCGTTATTGCGTGTGTGTGTGAGTGTGTGTGTGTGTGTGGTGGGCATGTTTGTGTACACTGTCAAGAAAAAAAAACACTCACTCAACTGGAAGTCTTAATTGATAGAAACCCAAATGTTAAAGCTGCACACGGACCCAGCAATGCCACAATAAAACAACCGCAAGGTGTTAAACTTTTCGCACTAACAGCCCTCTGCAGCGCACAGGAACACACACACACACACATATATATATATGGCACATACAGAAACGTAATGTGAGCAAAAAGTAAATTCATTGTCACTTTGGTGCTGTATTCCCTGCTAGATCGCCTGTATCGATTTTTTGTTTTTAAGATAACAAGAGGCCAACTCTCATATGAAAGGCGTTATCGTCGATTAAAGACATGTAGGTTTAGGGCTCATGTGTGTTTTATTAAAAAATACAAATCTGGGAAAATATTGAACATTTTTCATTCATAATAATCAACACACTGATGTATAGCACAGAGGGTTTTGATCCAGATATAATGTAATCAAAAACAATACGACGTGTGGCATTTGATCTTAAATTAAACTGTGCATAAGAAATCCACTAATAAACTAAATATTTACCTGTGGGGAACAGAGCAAGAAAAACGATATTTAAAAAGAAAAATAACAACATAAAAGCCCACCTGTGAGGGCGATATCATATTATAATCCAAACACACTAACATTCATTTAATCCTGACCCCAAAGCATTATGTAAACAAACCTGAGCGACTGCAAAGTAATCAATGCGAGTCTCCATTAAAACACACACACACACACACACACATTCTACATGTGGGACTGCGGAGTTTCTACCTAGTCCTGGACTTTAAGGTATTCTCTGCCCCGAGAGAAGAAAATATACACGGGGGTTAAAAATAAATGATAAAGCAGCTGGTGGATATTGCTGTGGGCCTTCTGTATGCAGCTAGTATAGGCCTATTTTACCTAAGCGGCAGAAAAAGAAGGGGAAAAAAGCAGGGTGGAATATACTCCCACGCATTGTATTCAAAAGTTGTGGGCCTTCATGTTTTGAATGTTAAGAAGAACAAGAAATTTTTTTTAATGCCTGCTGCCTGCTCTGTTTTTCTCCCCTACCGCTGCAACACAACAGATCTGAGGCCTCTGGGCTGCAGAGGCTACCAGTGCTCCGATGTGTGAGTGCTACAAAGCCAGGTATTTGTGTTCATTAGTACCCGGATCAACAGACTATCAAGGCTGTTTAGAGATCAAGACCAAGTGCAATTACTGGGCAAGAAGCGGGATCCACGACATGTTTAAGTATTTTCACAAAGTAGCCCAATTAGTGTTATGCTTTTCGTTCTCTTTCTCTCTCTCTCTCTTTTCTTCTCCCACTTTCTATTCTGTCTTTGTTTTTAAATTTAGACGGGAACTTGACCCCCATGTGCAGCAATCATGCAAGAGTAATACGGTAATAACAAAAACAAAACTGCACATTTGTATTTTTTTTATATCCTTTTATTCCTCTTATTATTTATCCGAATGCACGTGTGCTGCCCTTACTGAACATTTAATAACAATCCTAACATCCTTTTAAAAAAATATATTGTATCAAGTCCAGGCTCGTTTAAAATAAACACGTTTCAGGTTTGTTTTAAAAGCTGTGCACAAATATTTATTCCACTTATGGTCTTGAATGTAAATAGTATTTATTTTTTTATTTGTTTTAAAGCCTGAATGATGTCTAATAGCCTATAAAGATCCAGGTTCACGTTGAATTAAGGCCAGTGGCTTTGGCAAAGTTACAAAGCTGTTAAAGACCTGTAAACACGCAATCAAGCATGCTCAACATAAAAAACAATAACAGGTATATTTTAAAATTATTCTTTTTTGTAATAAGCTTGAAATAATAAAAAATAAATAGCGTGCAAGGCTAAAAGTGTCTGTTTTTTCAGATCTGCATTTTCACTAAAGCACAAAACGAAACTCACAAGGTAACAAACAAATATTAGGACATAACAAACGCCAACAGGCCTACATAAATCCTTCACTTGTTAGGTATTCGTCTTTCAAATGAATTGTGGATTTAAAAAAGCAGATTGACCCACACTGCCCGTAGAAAACACAGTGCATTCATGCAGGAATAATAATACAAAAAACAGGCGGTGTAAATAAACGCAATTCAGAAAATCAATCCGCCAAAAAACAAGCAAATGTAAAACAATAAACATGTTCCATTTCCAACAACAAACTAGCTCATGTTCACTAAACTGAATACATGAATTTTCCGTGTGACGCGAGCAGCAGTCCACTAAGTAGTAGTAGTATGGGCGCTTTCTTGCACAAGACGCATTATTGATTGGCATTCCCTGGAGGAGGAACCAGTCTGCAGCAGTCCGGGGGCCCTGGGACAAAAGCAAAGTTGCCGGAGAGAGATATCATCTGCGGTTTCAAGCGGGGTCGACTAAAAAAAAAAAAAATCTGCATTAAAATATTGCCCTTTCTGTCGAAATTCACATCTTGGCGTCTCCGTCTGCAGGGCGAGTGAAAAGAGTGCGCTCAGCTCGGTGTGAGCTCTGCAGCAGCACAGAGCAGTGCCACAGCGCCCACTATTTCAAAAGCCGGGAATATTATTTCACAAGACTTGCTACGGGGCTCTATAAAAAAGTTACTATCCATTTCGACAACTTTTCTCGCTAACTTTCGGGGAAACGAATCTGCGCACCTCCACTGAACCTCCGACACCCGAAAAGAGCAAGAAATACAAGATGGAGCTCAGATTTTTTTTTTTGTTGGACAGCAATGTTTATCTCTGCCTTTATAGGAGTGTAATCCACTAAAGCACCAGCGGCAATTCTCATCACACATGAAACTTTGTGACGCCGGGGAAACCGACGAAGCCAAGACCGCAGCGTGCAGACGAACGGGACTGAGCAGCCGGAGCTGGACACATTTTTAAGTAGAAAAAAGTTAACTCTGGACAAAGAGTCGCCCCCCTCTAACCCTCTCTTAAGGATATGACAAATGACAAGGACGCGTTGGACATCTACGGACGCAGGAGTTTGGAGCCGGCGGCTGAAAAAGCGATAAGAAGGAGAAAAAGAGAACACCTACTTTTGGCCAGTTTTCTCGCCCTCGCCTTGGATCTCATCTTGTCGGCTTGTAGATTCCTCTCGTCGTCCTCCGTGAGCCCAGAAGCAGCAACAACACTATCTTCATCTCACCAGCATTGTCAGTTTGGACACCTTCGCACATGCGCACAGGCCATTCAATCTGACACCCTCGCCGGGGCCAAAAAACTTTCCAATGTATTCATCATCATCACTTTTTTGTCCTATCGTCTCCCCTTTAGATCACTTATCTCTTCCCCTCCTCCTCTTCCTCCTCC